CCCCTGAGCTCTGCAAGTACTGACCGCTAAGTACAGAGCCAGAGGGAAGCCCTGAGCATAGTCGGGTGTAGCCCCCAAGCGAAAGTAAAATGAACAAAAATCAAATGCACTTTTCTAATACTGAAATGCTCCTGAAAAATTATGTACCAGACCCCAGGGTAAACATATTTACAAGTTATGAGAGAGGTGACCAATGCTATCATAAAAGGCAGAGCAGAGAACAAGTTGGCCCAAGACTTTCTTCAATGCCGAACAAGAACTAGATCTTCGAAAATGGAAATGAATCCTCTTGGGAAATGTCAAGAGTCTTTGGAAAGAAGTCAAGGTCGAATATTTTAACCCCTCACAAGAGGGGTCTCTCTGAGCTCACAATTGGGAGCAGGACCGGGAACATCACGGCACCGCACAGACCACCCCCAAATCTTTGGGGCTTATTGTTCAAATACAAAGCTCCGGGGATTATTTTAACACAGTGTTCAAGACTTTCAAATCGCTTCATGGAGGAAAGACTTTCTAACAAGAATGATTGTAATTTTAAGTAATTTTCAGAACAGGGAATCTTAGACTTATATTCCCTGGGGTTAATTCCCTTGTTTTGATGAAAAGCTATACACACTAATTTGATCTTTTAAAACAATTTTCGTTTTTATTCATAAAACAGGTTCATTTCCGCTAACACTCGTTTCATCCCCTAGGCATGCACAACTATCTAAACTATTTCAAAATCAAAACAAAATAAATATGAGGCTAAGGCCAATGGGAGCAAACGGCTTTCCTGGCGATGACTGGAGTGGTTGGTGTTCTAACTTTATTAAAGAAAATTAAACTGAGAATCAGTCAAAGCTACACCTTCAAATACAAACCTAATCAGATACTTTGGTCTTATTGATTTTTGTTTTATTAAAGAATTGAGTAACTGCAACGGCAATTATAAACTAACTGTATAAAAAACTTACTGGAATGTGATTAAATTCAAGCACAGCGCTGGGTGGTTCTCCAGAATTATCTCATCCGCCCAAGCCCCTTCTGTTAAGCGACACATTGTTGCCATATATATGTTTCTTGTCTTGTTAAAATAAGTATAAAAAACCAAATTAAAGGAAGTTCTGCTGATTTCTGAGTATTTAATTATGCCATTAACTGGTAATACCAATGATATATATGGTTGGACTTCTGTCCTCAGTAATTATCTGAATTAACTTCATTTTATAATGCTTAATTTATTTTGTACTAAGGAAGGCTTTAAACTATTTAAGAGAAATCAGCTTAATTTTGATTTTTTTTACTTGCTCCAACGTGTTTCAATTCATTAGTGTTTCAGTAACAAGGAATGAACTCTCTTCATCTTGACAAACCAAGCATGGAAATTTCCTCATAAGAGAAAAGAAGAAATTAAAGTGATTTCCATATTCAAGTCATAGCATGCTGAACAAAGAATTTTGGGCTCTTAGGAAAGACACTTGTTATCTCAAGGGAGGGTCATACACTAGAATTCGTGGAAATGTTACAGTGGGTCCTGCCAAGAAGGAACTCAGGGAAACCGGAAGCGGTGACACTGTGAACCTAGGCATTCCTGGGCATGGAGTTTTCCTTCTCTTGTGTGTCCTGCCCTCTTCAAGTTCTTTCTGAAATCAAAGACTGTAATTTACTCTAAAGCCAAACATGATACCCAAAGCAATTGACCGTGATCCCATACTTGGCTCTTCAAAGTATCATGAGGTAATTCTCTCAGAAAGAAGTTACCTTCTCCACTACTCAAAATTAAGGCCGTTCTCTGACTTACTTTTAATAAAATTAAACATTCTAATTTTTAAAATATTAAAATCAGCAAACGACAGGAACTGCCATACTCACACTTATTTCCCCAAACTTTTGCTTTTTTTCAACAATTACACGTGTATGGTGGATGACAGTTAATCTCGTAGGGAAAAGAAAGAAAATTTTAAAAAATGTGTATGAAATACCACTCTGGTTAGTCTCAGATACTTATTGTTTATAGACCTAAAAAAGTAAGCAAACAAACCCCAAACTAATTTATTAAAAAGTCATTTGAAAGCACAAGGAGGTGACTTAATAGTCATGGCACCGAGAAAGTAAGTTCAAAGTTACAGCATTAACTAAATTGGATCCACATGTCTTCCAAGCATCCATGTGGTGGACAAACTTACTCATTTTGACTAAGAATTCTGACAGGACTTGAGATTTTATATTACTATTAAGTGTATCAAAGCACATATCACTTCCAGCAGTAGAGAATTCGTCATCCTCCTTCCAAAAACCAACAAATAAACCCGACAGCCACTTTCTCCACTGAATTTCTAGACAACAAATCCACCACTCTACAAGAAACAAGAGAGCCAGGGGTGTTTTACAGGTGTGGAAGGAAAATGCTTCAAAGCAAAATTCCTCAAACACATGCAACAGGAGTGAAACGGAAGGCTGTTCTCATTACTCCTATTCTAATCCCATGGATATAAAGGCTGTGAAAAAGACCATATTGATCTATTATCCAAGACACTACTTTCCCTCTTAGGTGAGTTAATATACTTCCACAAATATACCAATTCTAAAGTCAAGACTTCTCTCAAAAGAAAATCATTACAAACATTGGCTTTGAGTACCGAGCTCAATGAACTGATGAAATAAAAACATCTCAATCTTAATTTTATCTGGTACTTCCAGTCCAAATGGCTTCTAGTTCTGGGTCAGGTAGCAGCTATGGTTCTGGGATGGTTGTTTCCTGTTTTGTTTAGAATTTGAGTCTCTTGTTCAGAGAACGTAATTCTTGAATTATCCCCTGGGTTAGTATTCGTACCCTCTCTGTGTAAATTGTTCCAATAACTGTTTCTGTTTAAGAAAAACTCAATGATACACAGCAGTCTCTTCAGTGAAAAGCACCCTGAGAATACTGGTATTACAGGAGGGGGATTCAGGGAAGAGCAATGGAAATCAATGTTTTACTACTTCCTTGTCTATTTCTACTGAATGAAAAGAATCATAGGCTCCTTCTACTCTTAAGAGCATCCTCTGACCACTATCAGCTGGAAACAGGAAAGAAATGAGGTGCAAAGAAGATAGGATATTGGTGGATGGGGCAATATTGCTGACAGAGGGAGGATGGGGGGACAGGAAGGAGGCATTCTAGGCAGGGTTTGGGACATGAAAGAAATAAGATTTGTAACCCTCACCAGTTGTGATGTGTGAAGACTGTATTTCATGATCCAAAGTAGTGCCATAAAATAGGACTGCCTCTTTATGAGTCCTGATCTACAATACAACTAGGAAAAAGAGACATGGGGGCAACAGAATGAGCGGAAATGAAAACACTGATTTGCCTTGACCATGAACCTACACTGTGTCTATTTTCATATTCTTTTATTCTAGGTTCCTTTTGAGCCCTGCTGATTTATTTTTCTGCTAACTCTAATTCTCTCTCTCTCTCTCTCTCTCTCACTCTCTCTCTCTCTCTCTCTCTCTCTCTCTCTGTTTCTTGTGTGTGTGTGTGTGTGTGTGTGTGTGTGTGTGTTCACATACACACTTAATTTTCTCCACTCAGGCAATGCTTCTGAGGACTACTCAATGCTGAACAGAAAGAAAAAATAAGATTAATTAACAGTGATTTTAGAATATGGTTTCCTCCCTGTTTTAGGTTGAATCTGGGTTAAGAAAATCTTTAGTAGGTGTCCATCAAAGGAAGTCATTACTCTGATTGAGTATGTGACATTTCAGGAAGTCCACTAGACACCATGACTTATACTAAGAAAGGAAAGCTTCTGTTTGGAAATTCAACGTGTCTGTGCAGCCTTCAGAATGGGAATTTAGAAACTCCGGTCACCGAGTTCCCCTTGAGTTCTGGTCCTTCCCGAACCTAATGAAAATATGAGAGATGGAAGCAGATCAGGGACAGTGATGTACTGGAACTGCAGAGCAAAAGCAAGCCTATCTACGGGACCAGAGTGGATAGCACAGTGTGCAGGGGCATTTGTCTTGCAGGCAGCCAACTTGGGTTCGATCTCCAGCATCCCATATGAGCTTGCCAGAAGTAACCCCTGAGCACTGCAGGATGTGCCCCCAGCCCCGAGGGGAAAAATAAAAAAAGTGAACCTATAGCATCTCTTTCCCGAATGTTCAGTCAAGTTATCCATAAACTTATAGCAATTCTGAGGGAAAATGACAGCTGCCTGAGTGCTGTGGCTGCTGTACTGCAACACCTGGGAACAGAGAAAACCCAGGAGTTTTCCAAGTTCAAGGGAGCATGAATGTGCTTACGCGCACACATGGGTCCAGCGGATAAGCTAGAGAGCCAGGTAGCCAGACTAGTGGAAATAAAAACCAGGGAGGCTCCAGCCATTCTACAAGTTCCAAAACAAGAGTCACTAAGTGTGTTTCTAAATCACCCAAAGCTTCTTATTCCAGGAGGCCCCAAGGTGTGTCCTTCTAATACACTCTCAGACAATGAGGCTGGTTCCAGGATGCACTGCTGAGAACTTCTTTCACTGCTCCTCTGTCAGGCTGGGGAGTAGCAGGGTAAACTACCCCAGGACTGATCTGCAACCAAAGCAACATCATTCCAATGTGCACTTCTGTGGTCGGCACAGTGACAAGCCAAAACTATACATGACTAATACTTTCTATAGCTCTTTCACGAATGGCGTACCCCTCGACAAAGTCCAGAGCTATCTGTCATTACAAACATTTTATAAGGCCAGTTATCAAAGAATGATGAGAAAGTGGATGCTGCTAGAATAGCAGAGAGGTCCCTGGAGGTGTCTGCTTTGAAAGTTAAGCCAACATGGAGAATGAATCAATTTTTATTATTATTATTATTTAAAACAGTCCTTCTAAGTCCATTAAAATCACGGTCTCTATGCACACAAGGTTCATTTTGCATGGGTTTGGTCTCTATATCCTCCGCACGGTCACTGGAATATGTTCTGCTAAGTCTGTGGCCTTTCTCAAGCTTCATTATCTTCTTGGGCTCCCCGAAGTGTCGAGTCTTTTAGTGTTTGCTCCTGAGCCAGTGTGTTGTGCCTGCCCTGGCTTATTTTTCATAAGTTGTCTGGAGGAGAGATTTTCCAAAACACGAAACTCTTCTTTAGACGAGGTTTTTGCCAAATCTTGTTTCAAAAGTAACCCCGGATCTGACAGCTCAGAGTTGGCAACACCCTGACAGCTTTGCTTTTTTTCCACTATTATGTCTCTGGGGACTCATCCATCACTTCCAAGAGCAACTCTGTTGTGGTGGTCGCAGCCTTCCGCAGAGCGCCCCAGCGCCTGCGTGCCCCTTGTGCTCTGGCCTCTCGCGGACTTTGTTTTGGACCTGCTGATGCTGACTCACAGCTACAGACAGGCTCCCACTTAGAAGTCCTGTCTGTAACCGCTCCCCAGGATGAGGTTTTTGCTGGCTGCGAGAGTCTTCTGGCTGGATCTGATGAACATTTTCCAGCTTTTGAACAGGAAGCCCCCAGTGGTTCTCAGCTGCCTTTATGTAATCCTTCGCCTGTCCCGTGGCCTCGGCTGGAGGGCTGGATGAAGCCTGGCCGTCACCCCTCCTCCTCGCTATCTCCGCAATCTCTGACTCACTAGATGTTCCCACAACATTCTTGCTGTTCCATGATTTGCTCACAGTGCTGCTTTTTGTTTCAATTCTCATCACACTAAAACAAAGAAAGATTTTTTTGGTTTTGTTTTGTAAAGTTACAATGGCAAAGTTTCCTCCGAATTCCCCTTACCACATTCCTGTACCTGAAAACAGGAGGCATGGGCTATTCTGTATCTCCCCTCTGCCCTGGCAAATCGAGAAAAGTCCCCAAGTGTATGCTGAAAGGTCAACTGGATCAAACAATTCACATTTCCTAACACATGAGAGTACATTTCATTGATTGATGACTGGGTTTTCAAGGGAGCCATATTGGAGTTCATAATATTAGGTATGAAGACCTAATATTTATAAACCTAATATCTAGATATCTAATATTCATAATGTTAGATATATGGATATGTAATATGTAATATATGTCACTGTCACTGTCCTCCCGTTGTTCATCGATTTGCTCGAGCGGTCCTAGTAATGTCTCCATTGGAGACTTTGTTGTTACTGTGTTTGGCATATTGAATACATCACGGATAGCTTGCCAGGCTCTGCCGTGTGGGTGAGATACTCTCGGTAGCTTGCCGGACTCTCCGAGAGGGGCAGAGGAATCGAACTCGGGTTGGCCATGTTGGCTGCGTGCAAGGCAAACGCCCTACCGTCGTGCTATATCTCATATGTAATATCCATAGTATGGATATCCATACTCTACTACTTTCAAAACACAGGCTGTGTGTGTGTTGTGTGGATAAGAACATGTTTCCACATAAAGAGTTTTTATTGTACGTAAAAATAATCTGGGATTTCTCTCAGGTCATCTTAAGTATTATTCAAATATAATCACCATTTAGCTGGTGTCAGGCCTATTCATCAGCCATCTGGAAACAGAATTCAGTTACTATACATTGAAATGTCCCGGAAGAAATTCCAGATAGTATGAAAGGAAAGAAAGTAAAATCATGGCAGACACAAGAATGTATGTCTCTAAACCACACATTTACATACCACATCCTATGTTTCTGTGCTTCTTTTTGAACATTTCTTTTGAGATATGCATCCATTCATACAGAGATTACACCCTCTTCTCTACAGCATACATAATAGACAATGAAAAAATCTACCTTTTAAAAATCTACCCTGAAGGGCGGGGTAGGAAGTACACAAAGAAAATTTGGGACTAAAGACTCTACCTTCAGCAGATATTTGCAGGTTTATAAATGCCAAGACATTTCTTAAACCAACAAATGCAAATACTGAGGCTGGAATATTTATTCTGGCTAAGCTTTAGCCTGGAAAAAAACAATATATTTCTCAGGTTCCTGCTGTTGCTATCAGGGGCATAAGGATTATCATAATTATATTAGGGTCGGACTAAGCATCTTAGGAAAGGAATGTACCTTTCAGATCTGTCTGTAGTCACCCTGAAAGTTGTATGAAATACCACCAACAGGTGCTTTTCATCTTCAAAGCCCTTGTAATTAATTACTTCTTGCAACACACCTGTGAAGCAAGGCCTCCATCCCCATCTCCATCGTCCAGAAAGCTAGAGAAAGAGTCAGAGTGAAGAGCAAGTACATGGCTTCCGGTACAGTCAGCAACAGGGTGGGTCTCATCTTTAGGTTATGTGTGCTGGAATTGGAGTCTGGACTTTATGTTACGGAGCCACATACATAGAGAGTCAAATACACAAAGAGTGAAAGACAAGGAAAAGAAGACACAGAGCATTCACACAATTCTTTTTTTTCTTGGGGCGCTGGGGGTGTCGGAGACGATGGACCTACATTTTTTTCTGAGCACTTCTCTTGTGCTTTGCCCTGGGAGGAAATGGACTGTCGGCACACACAGCAAAATAATCGGACACTCCATGGTGAGCTCTTTCCATCTATTCCAAGAGATAACAAAGGTTCAAGCAGAAATCTAGTAGTTGAACATCAGAAACAAAGAGTTATACCCAAGCAGAGATGGATTTCTATGATGAGATTGCTGGCTGTCAGGCTATTTTAATGCTTTTAATCTAGATGTTTCTTTGGGTAAACTCACAACACTTGGACTCCCAGCCCAAAACAGTTTTGTGTTTTGAAATGGGCCTCAAACATACAAGAGTGTGAAGAAAAGGATTTTGATTTCAAGCCATGGAGAAACTCCTGGCCAGTGTGTGACATGCCCAGTATCCTGGGGCCAGGAAGCAGCTTGTTATGTGGCTTTGATCTTCCAGAGTTCTTGTGGCACAATGGCTATGGCGCTGCTTAGCCTAGGAATTCCCCCAATTTCTCTACTTACAAAAGACAAAGTATGGTCTTTGCAATATTCAAGATAAAAATCAAGAGGGAGACCTTTTAAAACTGGAGGTTGTGGTTCTTGGCTACTAAGAAAGTGGGAGCTTTCTCTCCCTCCCCTCCCCTCTTGCTCCCCAAACTAAAAGTACTACCATGGCTTTATATAATTCATAGATTATCTATCTTTACTCATATATTCCCATGGAAGTTTCATAAGGAAGTAATTATATAATGGAAAAAACCTCTCAACCTTTGCCAAAATAATGACCCATTTCATACTTTTGAAATTGTTTCCTTTTTGATAACAAGTAGGTAGTACAAATAAGGTGTTAATTTCTCTCATTTTCTAAGCGACTAAATGCCCTTTCCACAAATTCTATAGTAAAAATGTTGCTGCCACAAGGTTCAGGTTTAAAAAAAAATTGGGGGGGAGGAGGCACACCCAGGGATTCTCAGGGGTTACTCCTGACTCCGCACTCAAAAATTACTCCTGGCGGTGCTCGGGGAACCTTATGGGATGTCTGGGATCGAACCCAGGTCAGTCATGTGGAAGGCAAGCACCGTACCCATTGCATTATTGCTCTGGCTCCACAAGGTTTAGTTTTGATTATTTACAAGTAGGTCCTTTCTTAACACCTAACTTTGGCACAGGCAGTCAGCTTCAGACCTTGGTGGAGGGGCATTCTGCCTATTGTCTGGGTAATTCAGAGAACCATGGTAGCGGTTTCATCCAATCACTGCCTTCCACACTGAGCACGAAGTAGCCTTTGGCTCTTACTAACCCTCCCTATGATTTCAGATCTGAACCAATACTACTCAAGTTTGATCCAGTTAAAATCCAAATCACTTGTAAGACTTTGTGAACAAATTATTATAGGTTTTATTGGATTACACTACATGTTAATGTGTTCTCTCTCCCCATCAAGTATTACTAGTTCACCAAAATAAGCTAGTTTAAAAGCTGTACACACACACACACACACACAAACACACACACACACACACACTCAGAGGGAAAGAGAGAATATGAGAGATTGAGATTTATGTGTGAAACACTTCTAAACATGCCCTATAAGTACAGTAGATTTTCCCCTTTCAACCACACCCTGTAAGTGCTGTATTTTCAGAGTTGAACAATTAACATAAGGAGCATGAGTCAGGCTTTGAACAACTCTGTGGGAACCAGAAAGCCTTTTGCTATTAGGGATGATGTAAATTCCCCAAGGCTGGAAGAAGTCCACAATGGAAGGCAGACAGGGTCATAAATAACAACAATGGATACGACATAGTAGACCACATAAAGTATGATGCTGCGATACTGGGACACTTCACAATCTCACATTGAATTCGATTGCTTTTCTAAACTTATTTTCTGAAGATTAGCTTAAAGGATTCTATTTATTTCCTATGGAAACTTCAAAAAGTTCTTTAAGAAACAGAACAATCGACTCTCATCCCAAATTCCTCTGACAATAAACAATCGGGAATATGTCCTTGAAAGAAAAAGGGACGACAGAAAAAGTGACTGGATGACAAGGAAATGTCCAGATCAAAAAGTGCAAAACCTGTGAGTTAAAAAAAAAAAAAAGAAAAGAAGAAAGAAAAGAAAAACAAGAGAAAAAAAAAGGCAAGGCGGGTTTCCCTGCTTCCAAATTAAAACCACATTTGGCAATTTGTTGAAGGAGGCATATTTACATTTGTATGAAGACTGGGTGGGCAGAAAAAAAAAAAGATTAGACTCCCTCTTCAGCCCTTGAACTGTCAAGTCTCATTAGAAATCTCTCATTCTGACATTTTAGGGTCAATTCACATCCTTTTGTCACAGCCTCCCTGATGGCCCCTCAAACAAGGATTTCAGAGGAAGCAGCTATCACCTGGGAACAGGATTTCCCAAGGGAGTCTTGCAGATTACTAATGGCCTCTCACATCTAGCATCAAAATGCAATCTGTGGTTTATCCGGAGGCAAAACTCAGGTGCCAATAGTGCAAGCTGGGAAGTGCTTCCCGGGTTTACCCAGGGGACACTTGTTCCCTTTCAGGGTCTGTCCTGAATGATAACCTTGACTTCTTTTGCAAAAAATACAGGAAAACCAGCAAAATTAAAAAGTCTATCACCAGTGGCCATCCAAACTCTCAAGTGAGTGTAGAAAATTGCAGTATTAAGAAATAGGTTAATCCAGACCAAATCTTGGAGGTTTCAGGAGTGTTGGTGGTGGGGAATGATGATGGCCTGGGTGCGACATATGAGCAGCGGGGGAGGGGAGTGGTGAGGTGCAATAATTCTGTACGTCAACACCATATACTTTGGCACCGATATAACCATCTTACCCCAACCATTGTAACACTAAAACTGGAAAGAGAAATAGGTTAATCAAGAGAATTTCTCTGAGCTCTTGCTAATAACATTGCAACCTGGAAGTTAGTTACAAATTAAATTAAGCAAAAAGAGTAATATTCCATGGGAACCTCCTCAGGTTGCCTCCCCCTTCCTTTCTTCAATATTATTTCGAGAATTTTAGTTTTATAACTTTCCACATATAACCAGGATTTATATGTATTTTCCCTCATGAACGGAGTCCTCTGGGTGAAACTGAACAGAAGCCATGAGAAAAGGCAGTTAGCAAGGGGGCTTCCTGCCTTTAATCAGAGAAAGGGCTGAACTGAAATACAGCTAAACAGGCAAACTGAAGTTTGGATAAATCAAGAAGTGCACTCCACAGTGACATGTTTTTTTATGCTCAAAAGCTTATGACTTATGAGCAGTGTGGTGCTGATAAGTGAGGGACAGAGA